GCGTTGCCTCCACCGGGGGGTGGGGGGGAGAGAGAGGAAGAAACGCTAATGCTACACGCGATTGGGATCCATAAGCACCAGCCAGCTGGTCTCCTGGGAGTTCAAGGTCTTCGACACAGTCCTCCTTCCTGTTTTTTATTCTCACAACAACCCTTGTGAAGGAGGCTGCGCTGACAGAAAATAATTAAGCCCCAAATTAAAAAAAAAAAATAAAAGTAGTTTTGCGGTCCAAGTGCAAGCCTGGGTTGAATCATATCTTTATTGAATGCCAGATAAGTAACCAAGGCAAACGTTCCAGTCTCTCTGGACTTTTATTGAGATGTCATAATAACTGAGGGGGCTGAAAGAGAAGAAGAGGTTGCTCTGCAATTTTCTCTGGCTAAGTAGGGATTTGTATCTAGGTCTCCTCCTTTGCAGACCAACAAAGGGCTAGACTAGCAATTTTCTCTGGCTAAGCAGGGATTTGTATCTAGGTCTCCTTTGCAGACCAACAAAGGGCTAGACTAACTGCAACCCCAGGCTGATGGCATGGCATGTCTTCCTTGAAACACTACCATTGCTCATAGAGTGGGTCCGGTGGTCCAGATAGGCGGGGTGCAACCCCAGGCTGATGGCATGGCATGTCTTGCTTGAAACACTACCATTGCTCATAGGGGAACTATATTTGCTGACAGGACAGCAAATATTTGCTGATACAGCAGCCACAGCTTGTACCACACTGAGATTTTTCAAACTGATAGGTGTAAAAATGCATTAAATACAAGCCATTAAATTCATTAATCAGACTTGTAATGCGATGTAAAAGATTAACCAATTGCACAGTAAATCTCTGCTCAGTTATCAAAATACACTTCCTCTTCTGTTTAGCTTTCTGAAATCTCAAATCAGATTAGCAAAATAAGAAGCTGCTTTATACTAAGGCAAAACTATTGGTCTAATTTAGTCCAATATTGTGGCCACTGGCAGCACCTTAGGAGTTCAGGTAGAAATCTTTCTCTGTTTGAATAGGTCAAGAACTCGGTGTGCAACCTTTTGCATGTATGGATACCACATAATTGCCATACATCTTGTAGATAAAGTCAGCCATTAAAAACACATTTTGAAAACACATTGATAATACTTTCAGGAAGGTAATTCTGGTGCTACATTAAAACTTGAATATGTAGACCTGATCCAGTACATAAAACTTCTGTGCTTCTAATTCTTATCCCTCACATGCCAGGCTTACTGTTCTTGCACTGTACCCTGAAGTTTATGGAGAAGCATGTAAGATTAGCAAATGTATGTTTTTAAATACTGTACTGTTTAGCTGCCAGCAAGCATGATTTCCCATTTCTCAGGTCCTCTTTATAACTTAATATCTCCTAAACCTGGCACATTCAGGTATAACTGCTAAGAAAGATTCCTGCTTGAAATCCTAGAGACCCACTGCCAGGCAGTATGTAGTCAGTATAGCTGGGTTACATCAACTGTAGAAAGCATAGCAGAGCTTGAAAAAGTTCCTACGCCCTGCTTAGTCCATGGTCTGCTAGGATCTTTGGGACTAAAACTGCCCCACCTAGCATGGCCACTGGATAGACCTTTCATTTGATTGAGTGACTATTTTCTTATGTAATGTTGCAAAGGATCACAGTGGTATTTTGATGCTCTCCAGCCCATCTGGCTTAGTGACACACCACTTGGGATCTGGACATTTAAAGCAAAGCAAATATATTAGATATAGTCACAAATGTCCCAAGTAATATGCAGTTTGGTCAGGTGAGAGTCTGTCCACATCAAAGCAATGGCACTTGGTGGGCACGGTGCTTAGTCTGATTATTCAATCCAAATTGCATTCCCACAGATGTTTTTCGGCCCCATTTGGGGGGGGGACCAGCTACCTATAAAAGCAAACCCCTTTGTCAGGGCACATCTTTAGATACATATGTATATGCGCATGCCTTGGGTCTCCTGTGGGGAGAAAGATACATTTGTAATGCACTTAAGATCTTGAAAGCTAAATTGTAATTCTGATACTAGGCAGAGTCTGTGGAACAACGGTAGAACCCCTAAATATCTTTAGATACATATGTATATGTGCATGCCTTGGGTCTCCTGTGGGGAGAAAGGCAATATATTTATGGAAGAATGGCAGCTCACATAAAATAACGTGAGAAATACAACTAAAATTGCAGTAAGATATAATATTGTTTAAATAAATAAAACCATAATTTAAAGGCATAGCAGACCTCAGACCTGTCTAGTGAAACACCTGCCTGAAAAGGAAGATATTTGCCTCGGCAGAAGGACAAGAAGGAAGGGATCAACCTGGCTTCACCAAGATGTGCAATGCATTCTACAACCACTCAAAAAGAGAGAGGGCATTTTAAGCAACTATTTGTGCCACAGTGTTTCTTCTGAAGCTACCAAGATGTGCAAAGCATTCTACAACCACTCAAAAAAAGAGAGAATTTTAAGCAACTACGGTATTTGTGCCACAGTGTTTCTTCTGAAGCTGTGTGAGCTGTAATCCATTCCAAAAACTGTTGTCACTATGAGACACAGTAGGTATGCAAGTTTATGTACAAACTACTTCTTACTTTTATTACAGTTTACAACACAGGGATTTTGGATCTCTTGTTTCTATTTCCATCACCATGTTTGTGATGTTTTTGGATTTTTTTAAAAAATAAAAGATAATGGCATTGTGATTGGAATTACTCTAACCTGGAGCCAAGCTGCTCATAAAAGCAGGTCATGTTTTTGGTTACCCAGGTTGGTTACCCAGTTCTTTTTTATGATGGCCATTTCGGGAGACGCCTTTCATGGGTGAAAGCAGTTGTTACTTCAGCCATTCCTCTTCATTCACAGGGTCTTGTGAGTCATGTCCTGTGTGTGGTGTGTCACTAGACCACATTCCTAAAGCTTGTCGTCTGTTGGATATTTTAAAGTGGGAAAAGGTGTAGAAAAAAGGCCAGTAGAATTATTAAAAAGCTGGAGCAACTCTCTCATGAGGAAAAGTTTCAACATCTGGTGCTGTTTAGCTTTCAGAAATTCACTGTGAGAAATTTGATCAACCCTAAGGACACTTACGTTCTTGTGCTGTCCAAAACTGTTATGCAATGCAGCCATTCAGGAAGGGGCAACCGTGGTCTCATGCAGTGTGCTCTGTACAGCATAAAACAGACTTGTGGTATATTAAAGACAAACACATTTAAATTTGGCATAATTCTTGGTAGATTACAGTCCTCTACTTCAGGTGAATCTTAAGCAGTGTGTGCTACACTCCGTTGAAGCTTGGGCCTAATAAATCTTTTTATTTTTAAGGTGCCACATGACTCTTTTCTGGTTTTGCTGCAACAGACTAACAGAGCTATCTAACCTCTTGGAAAAATCTGTACAAGGTGTTGCATGATTCACATGTGAGCAGTGAGAAGCCATAGCCTAGGTCAAGTGAGAAGGAGCAGGTACTTTCTGTCTTGTCCAAGTACTCCTCCTCCTTGCATGACTGCTTTGGAAAGCAGTACTGTATAAATGGCCACTGGCCACATCACCTGTGGCAAATAAGAAACACTACTTGATGACCAGGCAAAAAAAACCCCGCTGTTTAAAATATTTAAAAAATATACTTTTTTATTTTGGTCAGCTTCATTTTGCTTTAGTCATTTGATTCACCTCCCCAAACTAGAGATGGATATAAAGGAAGAGTCTTGTGACTTCGCTTGATGACCAGGCAAAAGAAACCTGCTGTTTCTGATGCACCTCCCCAAACTGGGCATGGATATAAAGGAAGAGTCTTGTGACTTCTTAAAAGAGTAGCAGCTAGAATGCTATTGGTTTCGCATACAGTTTGCATAACTGCCATGGTTAATTGACAAGGTGATGGAATGCCTCTTGGTTGCATGCCTGGCCCAGTGCCCAGTTGTGCAACTGAGATGCATCTGTGGGCCTTGTCCATTAGCTACAGTTTAGGTGTGGCAGGTTACATAAGCCTTATGGAAATACCGATAGGATTTGCCAAGCAAGTTTGATTTGGTATCAGCTTCCATTGACAGTAGTCCAGTGTGTCAGATTCATCTAAAGAAGTGGTCAACGATTTGCTAAAGCTTATACCAAAGCAAACTTGATGGTCTTTAAAGTGCCACAAGACGGATTGTTGGTTTTGCTGCAACAGACTAAGATGCTGCCCTTCAGACAGTTTTGTGACTCAGTTATTCCTGTTAGTAGTGAGGTTTGGAAGAGCAAAAGAACATAGGAAGAGCTGTACAGTACTGGATCAGACCAAAAGGCCCATCTAACTCAGGGATTTTGGGGGGGGGGGGCGGCTGTAGTCCAAAAAATGATTTTCCCAAGCTCAAAAATTAAGTCAGTAGTATGCAGCACATATGTGTTATTTCACTTACAGCAACCCTAATAAGCACTTTCAAGGTAAGTGAAATATTTAAGAAATGGTTTTGCCAGTGCCACCCCTTCAAGAAGCTTCCATGACTAAGCAGGGATTCAAATCAATGTCTCCTGAGTCGATCATCCTACCCACTACTCCACAGTGGGTACCCTGTGTAGCATGTAGCAAGGCCCAAAAGCAGATAGGAGCTTCAAAATGTCAACAGGCTTACTGTGATCCCAGTGCAGCATGGCAGGTACCTCCAATATACGACTGCCTGCCCATCTCTTCCTGTGGCAATTAATGGGGCACAGGAGGTGCAGTTGAGGGACCTGCATGAGGTGTGTCTGTGCAGGCCCTGTTTCCTTGATGCTTCTCACTGGTATTCAGTTGGTCTCTGGTGCTTTAAAATCTTGTTTCATCTGTCCTTTCTCCCTTCTGTGCTCATGCAAGGGTAAACTGCCAGAGCTTAGCAGCCCCTCAAATTTAGCTTGCTAGCTTTAAACTGAAAATTAATTTGTTAAGAGGTTTTGTTATAAAACAAATTCATGTCTAATGCATGTGTTTTAAATTAAACAAAGAAAGAAAGAAACAAAGCAACTAATTTTGTTGAAGTGACAAATTAATATGAAGTGAAATATTGTTACTTAACTCATTAATGCTAGTCACATTAAATGAGTTAAATAACAATTTCTAAACCAATATTTTAAAATAACAATAAATTACATGTAATTGACTGATTTTAAACAATTTACAGTGTAGCTCTGTTCTTATAATCCTGGCCTCTGAAATGCCAGGGGATCCATGTATTGTCATCCCTTGTTCTCTTTCCTCTCCCTGTTCTTGAGGCTGGCAGATACACAAGGAACTAATACATAAGATCTTTCAGTTATCCTCTTGGAAATTTGCCTTTCAAATCTGAAAAGGATCCTGCATTCCAGAACTGATCCCACATGTTGGGAAAATCAAAGTATACAATAGGCAAAACCATGTCTGTAGGTAATATGGATAAATCTGTTCAGTGTTCTGGAAAAGACTATGGATGTTTTCTAACAATGTCCAGGATCTTTGACCAAGATTTTACTGGGGCACAGGAGGAGATGCTCAACTCTCCATTGTACCTTTTCCCTGCTTGTACATGGAGGTAAGCAAGTCCACTTTAGGCATATGGTTCCTAGTTGAACAGCTACATGATCCTAAGACATGCTAATTGGGAATCCAAGCACCAGTCTACTTCTGAAGTCTCCTTGAGATGGCCACCTTGTCAGCTGGACATCTCATCCTTTTCTCTTGTTGAGATCCCATGGAGGTATTCCAGTGGGCTTTGTGGTCTACCATCATCAAAGATAGGATCTCAGCCTTTGACTGTAAGTTCAGAAATATTTTTCTCATTGAAAGAAATCTAATTTGTTGGGCACTCTATTTATATGGGAAAGAGATGAGAGTTGCTTTTTTTCCTGCTTAGTTGTTGTTTCGAATCTTATTTCTAAACCAGTCTTTCTGTGTTTCTTCTAGCATCCTATGTCATAACGGACCAAACTGAGCTGAGGAAAATCAAATGCATGGAAAAGGCCGGAATCAGTATAACAAGAGAGCTGATGTGGTGGTGGGGAATGAGGCTTGCAACTGTCCAACAGCTGCTGGAACTCCTGCAGGAACTGCAGCTCTATCAGGCAGCCCAAGTGATTGCTGAGTGTGAGTAATTCATTTTTTTCTCTTTCCGTTATCAGGCAGTCATCCATCACCAATCAGTATCTTGTTCTTCACCCTTATCACTCCTTCTAAGCCTGAACGCAACCTGACGACTCTGACTGCTTTTTGTAGCCAAGATTGGGCCACTGAGCAACAAAAAGGAAATGCTGGCATGCTTGGAAGCATCCTGTGCTTTGCAAAAATGTAGTTTTTTTGGTGTATACGTGTGCGTGCACGCGTGCGCACACACACACACACACACACACACACACACACACACACATCACTTTCCTTCAATTAATGGGAAATAGATGGACTCTTTCTGGTTTCTGTTGTATATACAGTGGTACCTTGCATAACGAGCTCCCCGTTTAACGACAAATCCACATAGTGATGCGGATTTAGCGATTGCAAAAGCAATCGCATTGCGATGTTCCCAATGGGTAAACATCGCATTGCAATGATCGGTTAGCGTTTCGCTTACCGATCTTCACATTGCGATGTTTGGAAAACAGCTGATCGGCTGTTCCAAAATGGCCGCTGGGTGAAGAAAATGGCCGCCCACAGCGTTTTCGCGCGATTTCCTCGCTTACCGAGGCGGCGAAAATGGCGGCCCTATGGAGGATCTTCGGATAACGGTGAGTTTATTCCCCATAGGAACGCATTTGCCCCATATAGTGACGTTTCCGCATAGCGACGATTTATCCGGAACGGATTATCGTCGCTATGCGGGGCACCACTGCATATATAAAACAGAAACCAGAAAGAGTCCATCTACTTCCCATTACTTGAAGGAAAGGAAGGATGAGGGGGAAGTAAAAGTACATACAAGTGGCATTCAGAAACATCACTTTGGGGGTCACAGAATACTGCCCCCCACAAGCATGCCCTTTGTTTGTGGAAATCCTCCAACAGTACATTTTCCAAACTGTACATACAACCTATCAAGTCCCTTAATGGAGATTCCCAATGTTGTTAAGTGAGAAAACAGGACTTTGGCTCTTAGAATGCTATCAATTTTTTTCTTACCTCCCCCCCTTTTTGTGTTTTTACTCCGTGTATGTTGTAAGTGAAGGCTCTGTGCAGCTATACTGTAGTTTAACTGACAAGCTTTGGTAAGCAAAGAGATTAAAGAAATGATGAGAAAAACACCAGAAGGCTGCAAACTGTAGGCAGTGAGATCGGGATCTCTCATAAACTTCCATAAATGCAATTGCACTAAAATCTGATGAAAGAAATTACTTGCTGCCAGGCTTTGAGCCTGCTGAGCCAACGTATTCATAATTCCCCACCTGAGATTATAAAAGAACTGTGGTTCCTTTGTAACTAAAAGAAAAAGATTTCAGGCCATCTCTATGGTATATAAATGAGGAAAGGAAAGAAGGGGAGTGAGCAAGCTTGAGCCTTAACTGCTGTGATTCGTGCACACAACATAAAATAGTTTCACTTCAGATCTGAACACTGCCATTCTGTGCTTAAAGATATACAGTGGTGCCCTGCATAACAAGTGCTTCGTTTAACGACAAATCCGCATAGCGATGTGTTTTTTGTGATCGGTTTTTGCGATCATTTTTGCGATTGTATTGCAATGTTTTAAATGGTAAAACATCGCTTTGCGATGATCGGTAAGCGTTTCGCTTACTGATTATCGCATAGCAATGTTTTTTCTAACAGCTGATCGGCTGTTCCAAAATGGCCGCCGGGTAAATAAAATGGCCGCCCGCTGTGTTTTTGCCCGGATTCCTCACTTACCGGGCAGCGAAAATGGCGGCCGCATGAAGGATTTTCGCAGAACGGTGAGTTTTTTCCCCATAGGAACGCATTAAATATGCTTCAATACATTCCTATGGGCTTCTTTGTTCCACATAGTGACGAATCCATATAGTGACGATTTTTCCGGAATGGATTATCGTCGCTGTGCGGGGCACCACTGTACCTACATATGAGAGCAATTACAGAGCTTGGGAAAAAGTTGCTGAATGAACTACAGCTCTCACAATCGCCAAGCCATCAAAACCAACGGCTATGCTCACTGATGGATACTGAAACTTGTAGTCCAAAAAGTAACTTTTCAAAGCTCCAGGCCACTGTATTCCAGAAGCACATTGACATATTATTGTCACTTGCACCTATATTCACTTCTCAGAGTAGTTTGTCTCCCACATTTTAAGTTGCCACTTAGAATATTTTCAAAACCAACCAGTAAATCCGAAAGTGCAGCCTTACAAATACTGAAATGAAGTGAAAGAAAGCAAATGTAACCTCAGGGGACTGATAAATTTCTCATCACAAATATGAGCTGTGGGCTTCCTCTCTCCTCTTTTGTACACAAGATATGTTGAACAATTTCTGGTTACAGCATTTTTGCAAAACAGTATTAGACAACCATGTGTCTTCACTGGGGCTGTGACATGCCAGTATCTAGAGTGAGAGTGGCTGACAGTGACTCATCAGTTACATGCAGAGTCACTGCTTCCCTTCATTGCAAATTCTAGAATCTCCCATCTAGGTTTGCTGTCTTTCTTTCTTTCTTTCTTTCTTTCTTTCTTTCTTTCTTTCTTTCTTTCTTTCTTTCTTTCTTTCTTTCTTTCTTTCTTTCTTTCTTTCTTTCTTTCTTTCTTGTTTGTTTGTTTGTTTGTTTGTTTGTTTGTTTGTTTGTTT